TCATGACTGATTTTACCGACCCCCATGGCTTCCACACCCAGCTCTCTACTGAGCTCAGCAGCCACACGAACCTCTCACGGGCCGACCGGTGATCCCCAGGAGGGATCGTGGGAATCCGGGACCTGACATAGCTCGGATGGTTTTTAGAAACACACTTTCCTGGAAGGTGCTGATTGATTTGTGGTTTTGAAAAATGTTTCATGCTTAAATTAGATTGCGAGCTTATAATCATGTTCTCTTCTCGTGGAGATTTCGCAACGAGTGACAGTGCAGTGAAGTTTTTATTTGTTTTTATTTTTCAATTACAGTTGGTGTTCAATAGATATTAGTTTCAGGCGTACAATATAGTGGTCAGACATTGTATAATTTATGAACTGATTCCCCGGTAAGTCTAGTACCCACCTGGCACCATACATTGACTGTCTTTCCTACACTGTACTTTACATCCCCAAAGAAATCCGAAACACTAATTTGAAAAGATTCTTGCACAGGAGTGTGCCTGTGTGTGCACCAATCTGGAGTACTCACTTGTCAGATCTTTATATGTGTGCCCAACCGGGTAGCTACCTGCCAGATCCAAATGTAGAATATTTTTGGCCCCCCCCAAAATTCCCCCCTGGCCTCCCAGTCAGTGCTCACCCACAGAGGAGACCACCCGCGGGCTTCCAGCTCTGTAGATTAGTTTGTTTGTCCTTGAGCGCCATATAGCTAGACTCGGACCATACAAACGTCTGCTGAGTACCTGTGAATGTAGCCCAATTTATTAGCCCCTCCTCCTGTTAGTAATCTTGAAACTATAGTATATAAATAGAACACCACTCGCCTTTTCAAACCTCCCAATTGCTTCCCGTTGTGCGTAGACTCTAATATCCCAGAAGGAAGGGACAAAGCTTTCCTCTCCCATTGTTATGTTCTTGGTCTTACCCCAGGGACTGGTTCACTGGAACTTTAAAATATATATTTGACTAATGACTGCAGTAACTAACTTATTAAAAGAATCCATTGACAGTTAATAGGCATTTTCTAGGAATTGGCTGTTTTCTCCACTTTCATGAAGATCAGGAAGGATGGGAAACTTCCATGTTCCCATTTTTCTTTCAGATGATTTATCTCATCAGAAATCCCAGAGATGTCCTGGTGTCTGGTTATTTTTTCTGGATTATTTCGAAGTTGGCTAAGAGACCCGAGTCCCTGGAACAATATTTTGAATGGTTCCTCCAAGGGCATGGTGAGTGAGAATATGTAAAGCGCGGCCGCTGGGGGGCGCCAGAGTCCTGCGTCAGACCTCACGCACCCCAGCGGCTCCACATGTCCCTGAGGGCTGGTGGCAGGGCCCGTGGCGATGGCAGAGCCCAGGCAGCCTTTCAGGTTTCCCATCACGACCCCCAGGCGGCCCATACTGGGAGAGGAAGGGAGAGAGACAGAGAGAGAAACACCTATGTGAGAGACACATCAAAGAGAGAGACATCAATTGCCTCCTGTACTCTCCCCTACTAGGGATTGAACCCGCAACCTAGGGATGTGCCCTGACCAGGAGTCGAACCTGCAGCCTTTTGGTGTACGGGACGATGCTCATCCGACCTACCCACCCAGCCAGAGTGCCACCATTTTTTGACATGCATTGCTCCCCATAACCCAACTGCTCCTACTGCATATTTATCTTATTAAATAAATGGAACCACACCATCCAGGGCCATGAGTCTGGCATCCCCAAGTGTCATCTTCTCCCATCCCGCCTCCCCGTGCCCCTCACCTCTTTATCTGAGTCCCACAACCTTAATTAATGCCTTCATTCTGGTCTCTGCTAAAATGTCCCTGTGTTTAGGGGACACTATGGAAAATAGCGCCCCTCCCCAGCTCTAGCATCACCTCCTTTCCCTTAGCGCTCATCGCCGAGGAGTGTGTATCCTGACTGCTGATCCGTGTGTCTCCCCACTGAAGTGGGGGCTCCTTGGCTTGTTCACTGCTGACCCCGGGTCCTGGAGGGGTGCTTGCCACACGGTAGGCCGCTCATCGGCCTTCGTTAAGGAATGAGCATTTCTCCACCATCCCTCCCACTGGGGCTTTATAACGAGGGTCACTGTTACTCCCCACCCAGGTTAGTGTCACAGACTCGGGGGTGTCCTCACCGCGTGCCGTAGGCCCCTCTGGGCTGTGTAGCAATGGCCTGTTGCCCGTGGATAATACACATCCTTGAAGCGTTTGCCCTCCGCATAGTCAGCCTTCAGCGCCCACAGTCGTACTTTGTATTGAGCTGATCTGGCTCAACTCTTCGGTCCCTGTCCCCTGATACTAAGGCCACAGGGAAACCGGGTGGTGAAGCCCAGAGAACGCCCCCTCGCCCACGCCGTGCCCCATCCTGCCTCTAGGTGGTGAAAGCGGCCTGACTGTGCTGTTTCTGAGGGAGAGGTTAACTGAGCAGAATTCTGTTGACAACTCCCCACCGCACTCTGGGGTCAAGAAGGGCTCGGGCATGGTAGACAGCCACTAAAAAGCATAAAATAGTTAAGATATGAAGGACGGAGTGAGAAGATTCGCCTCTTGAGAAGATGTAAAACACAGGGAAAGGTGATTTTCAAGGAGACGTGACTGAGAATTTCCTGCATTGATGAAACCTCAGGTTGAAGAACCACAGAGGCCTCACAAAGAATTATGACAAATAAACCTTCACCCGGTCTCTAGTAAAGCTGCCGTGGAACAAAAGGAGAGAAAATCTTAAGCCAGAGAAAAGGCAGATAATTTCCAAATGGACAGTAATTACCATAACAACAGTGACGGCAGGAAGACAGAAAAATATCAAAAATATCTGCAAGGGCAGGGAGAGTGACCTTGCAGCCGAAAGTTCTACATCTAAACACTAAACAGATCGGGGGCAGCAAGAGTGCCACGCCTTAGGCCACAGGGCTCTGGCAAGCCCTCTCTAGAGACCCCTGAAAAGTGAGTACGGCCCTCACCGGTAGCTTAGCTGACTGGAGCATCGTCTCGATGCGCCAAGGTTGCAGGTTCGATCCCTGGTCCGGGCACATACAAGAATCAACCGATGATGCATAAATAAGTGAACAAATCTCGCTCTCTCTCTCTCAAATCAGTTTTTAAAACTAAAAAAAGGAAAGAAAACTGGGTACCCAGCCTGCCCTAAATGAACTCAGCTCATACACTCGGCAAGTGGCGGGGACAGTTGTAAATGTGCTAGACATGTGCGAACGCGTGTGCCCACGAGACTGAGCGTAGCAGTGGGCCCCGCTCTCGCCGTCTGCAGCCCCCCACCCTTTCTGCCTCCCCGTGCAGTGGCATTCGGATCGTGGTTTGACCACGTTCGTGGCTGGATGTCCATGAGAGGAAAGGAGAACTTCTTGATAGTGAGTTATGAAGAGCTAATACAGGTAACTGTTTTTGTGGCTAGCGCACCGCCTCGTCACCATCTTCGCTCCCTCTAACTCCCACCCATCCCTCTGTGTCTCTCATTCCCCTTCTCGGCCGAAGTTCAGCCTTGTGAGGGGTCGTGAGGAGTGAAAGAAGCTCCCTGGTTTCCATGGTTCCGCTTCTGGTTGGCACCCCCAAGCTCCAGGCTCTCTGTCTTTGTGTTCTTCTTTGTTTCATCTGATAGTTTTAAAAATATGGTTTTTTATTGATTTTAGAGAGAGAGGAAGGGAGAGGGAGAGAGAGAGAAACATCAATGTGAGAGCCATGCAGGGATCAGCTGCCTCCTTCGCGCCCCCTGCTGGGGACCGAGCCCATCCAGGCATGTGCCCTGACCGGGAATCGAGCCGGCAACCTTTCGGTGCACAGGACGGTGCCCAACCAACTGAGCCCCACCGGACCAGGGCAAGAAAAATTTTAAACACTGTGGCTCTACGAGTAAGATCTCTGATTCAAAGTAAAGAGTTTCTGGTTATAAAATCCATTTTTAAATAATAACCTTCCAGTACCATGAGCCAAGTTCTAATTATTGAAATGATATATAAGAAAATATTATAAAACTCCTTGTGGTATTCAGATGTTATTTTGGAAAACTGGACTATTGACGGTGCAGCCAGGATTTGAAATCGATCCCTTAAATCTTTGTCAAGCTCCCCCTAAACCTCTCCTTGCTGAATCGTCATAATTGTCTAGAAGCCTTTCTAAAAGCCTCATTAGAAACCCTGGGCCCTGTGCTTTCCTCTTACTCTTCAGCACTGGGAAATTCAGGCCCACTCCATCTTTCTCACATGTGCGCTCTTTCTTTCACCGTCTGCCCGCCCCCCTCCTGGTCACGTCAGCTCAGCGCCTGTCATGTCTGCGCCCCGCCCTCGGCCACCCCCTCCGTGTCCTCCCCTGTCCTATGTCCTTTCTCTTTCTTAGCTTCCCCTTCGCCCTCCCTCCTGCTAGGACACAAGAAGCACCGTACAGAAGATCTGCCGATTCCTGGGCAAGAAATTAGAGCCAGAAGAACTGAACTCGCTGCTCAAGAACAGCTCCTTCCAGGTCATGAGGGAAAACAACATGTCCAATTACACGCTCCTGCGCGGCTGGCTCCTAGAGGAGCGGGGCTCACTTATGAGGACAGGTAAAAGGAAATGGCCTGAGTGCAGAGGGTCGCAGAGCAGGCAGAGGGCACCCTTGTGACGACAGCAGGGCACTATCAGCCGGGATAGGGTTCGAACTCACCCGCTTTAACGGGTCATCCCCAGAGGACTTCCCACAGGCCCTCATCAGGGAGTCTCTTGCCAGGGCACTGACGTGGGCTGGGGACACTTGGAGCAAGTCCGTCAGCCCCGGAGGGTCACCTGACTTAGGCCATTGGGATCCCCTGCTCTCTGAATTTGACGCCGGGGTTACCCGCTCTACAAGCGGTGACCAGGGCAATGCCCCGCGCCTGGCAGCTGCGATTGACCCGGGAATGGGGACAGGAGCACAGATGGCCGTCTAGGTGCCAGCCCATTGCTGAGTGAGTGTAGAGAAGGGTCCTGAACAAAGAAGCGTATGAACAGTGACTCGGCTGGAAAAAGGAGAGACTTTTCCACTTCGCTGAGAGCCCTTTGCCGCCAGGCGCTGTGATGAATCATCAGTCGCGCTCATATCTTTGGGGGAAAGATGACTGAAGAGTGTCCTCCGCGTGGAACAGGAGGAGCCTGCTTCCCCAGAGCAGGTGCATCCAGGAGGATCCATGGAAGAAAGAAAGTCAGTGCTTCCGAAGACCTCGACTGGGTGGGGGCTTCCACCCGGGCAGGGGTCTGGGAGCCCCCCCCATGGGCCGGGAGGTCAGGGCGTCAAGACAAAGAGGCTAATTCCCGAGCCTTAAAGTCTAGAGGCTACAAAACTTACCATGATCACACGGTATGAGGCATATAAATGTCGAACGCTATGTTGTGCGCCTGAAACTAATATAATATTGTACGCCAACTATACTTAAAAAAATTTTTTTAATCTAATGGAATATGGCCTGCTGGGTTTGGATTTGCTTGGGATCCACAATCGTTTCTTCTTTCTGATTCCTCCCTTTTGGAATGGGACTACCTACCCTATGCCCTTCATACCACTGTTTTGGGGGTTTTTAATCCTCACTGGAGGATATGATTTTAGAGAGAGGAAGGGAGAGAGAGAGAAATATCGATTTGTTGTTCCACTTATTGACGCATCATTGGTTGATTCTTGTATGTGCCTCAACCGGGGATCGAACCCACAACCTTGGCGTATCAGGACGACTCTCTAACCAACTGGGCCACCCAGCCAGGACCATACGATTGTATTTTGGAAGCAAACAACTTGTTTGGTGCCGCGGGTTCGCCTGCACAGCACACTCTCGTCGGTGCTGCGTTCGGGACACCCACGCGGAGCCTGCAGAGGTTCTGGCTCCTCAGGCGTTCGCTCTGCCTCAAGCGCAGGGTGTGTGGGGCATCAGTTAGAGCCTGGCCGTGCGGCTCGGTTGGCTGGACGTCGCCCCGTGCACCCAAAGGTCTCGGGTTCGACTCCCGGCGGGGAGAGAGGAGAATACAGGGAATGGTTTCAAGGCAGGTGGAAGCGCAAGTGGGAAAGGCCGCAGGCACACAAAGGCCCACCGAGGCCCGTGGGCCTCTCTGCTGTATTAGCTACAGTCTCCACGTCACGTGGGCAGAAGGAGTAGATCCGGAGGGAGATGCGTCGGGGATCTGAGACCTACCCCTGCACCTGATGTGAGTCTCTATTTTATGTTTGTCAGGCATTTCTGGGGACTGGAAAAACCACTTCACAGTGGCCCAAGCTGAGGTCTTTGATAAAATATTCCAGGAGAAGATGGCAGGTCTCCCTCGAGAGCTGTTCCCATGGGAATAATGTTGAAAGACTCCTGGATCTCCTCGAGGGAAATGTTTGTTCTCCTGCCCCTGGCGTGTGAACCGCTGGCGGTAATTGCGTAAAACCTGTTACTTCGTCCTGGAACCTGGAATCATCAGACCTCTGAACTTTGACGACTCGATTGTTAAAAATTACCAGGGTGCTGCTAACTCACTGCCTGGCACCCCAGCTTTCAACAGATATTTAATACATACAGAATGATACAGAAAAAATACAAGTATTACCCAAAGCTATGCCCCAGGGTGTTTTTTTATAAAAATGAGAAATAAAATTACAAAAGCACTGAAGGCTCCTTTTCTTTCCATTGCCTGTATCTTCCCAATTTATTATTATTATTATTATGACCTTACAGTATATAATTCCCAACGTCGCACTATTCTCTTACTATGTGGTGTTTGATCATAAACAATATATGGTATCTATGCAGGCTTTTAGAACTCAGATAAATGGCATACTGTACAATGCATTCATCAACTCACTTTTTTACTCAGTATTTTATATGTGGTTTTCATACACGTTGATTATATAACTGCTTCAGTATTTAGTATTAAGATGTATTTCAGTGACCCATTCTCCTGTGGGTGGATCTGGGTTCCTTCCCTACCAACTTTTCCCTACCTAAAACACTGCTTTGGCCCGGCCAGCGTGACTCAGCAGCTGAACATCAACCTAGGATCCAGGAGATCTCGGTTCGATTCCCAGTCAGGGCACATGCCCAGGTTTCAGGTTCAATCCCCAGTCGGGGGCGTGCAGGAGGCAGCTGATCAATGACTCTCATCATTGATGTTTCTCTCTCTCTCCCTCTCCCTTCCTCTCTCTGAAATCAATAAGGATATATATTTTTAAAAAATTTTTAAGAAGATAAATTCCTAGGGTTTAATTTGTTAAAAAAGAAAACAAAAAAAACCCATAACTGCTTTGGCCTAACATATGATCTATCCCAGAAAATGTTTGACAGATGAATGGACAAAGGAAACGTAGTCTCTACAGCAGTGGAGGATTATCGAGCCTTAAAGAAGGAAATTCTGGCATTTTTCGACAACATGGATGAACATGGAGGTCATTAGGCTAAGTGAATTAAGTCAGACAGAAGAACAAATAGTACCTGGCTTCACTTAGATAAGAAATCTAAAAGAGTCAAACTCAGAGAGAGCAGAGTGGTGGTTGCCAAGGGCTGGGGGAGGGGCAACAGGGATTGCTGGTCACAGGGTACAAAGTTCCAGTTATACGAGATGAATAAATTCTAGAGACCAGCTGGAGGGTTGGACCCACACTGTACCCATGGTTAACGATACCATGTTGTGCATTTAAAATTTGTTAAGATGGTAGATTTCATGTCAAGTGTTTGTGCTCACGTAGACATTTTATTGGGTGATTGCACCAAAATTTACTTTATTCATTACATCGTTGAAGGGCACTTGGGAAGTTTCTAGTCTGGGCTTATAATCCTTAATGCACCTTTGAATGTGCCTTTTCGTACATCTCTTGGTGAACATTTCTGTTGGGTATGCGCCCAGGAATGTTCATAAGACATATGTGCGTCAGGATTTAGTTGGTTTTCCAAAGGGGTTGTTTCAATTTAAATTCCCACCAGCCATGGTTTCAGATCCTTGCCAAATTAGCATTTTCTGTTTGGTTTAAATTATACCAATGGAAACAAAGATAATGGTACCTCTGTGTCTTTTCTCTGCTTTTCTCTGCTTTGAATGTGGAGCGTCTCTCCCATCCCACCTAAGGTCCCCAGCTCCGGAGAGTGGTGTGTTGGTGCCCCCTGCTGGCCAGGAGGCATCAAAACAGCGATGTGGACGCTCCTTCTTTCCCAGTCCTATGGGTGCCCCTGATGAACCACACCTTTGATCTGACCCAGCTGTGTCTCTTGCAAGTTGTTTACTGTAACAACAATTTTAAAACTACATTAGTCTGCTCTGGCCCATATGCTCCGTGGTTAGACCGTTGGCCTTCCAACTGAAGGGTCACGGGTGCGATTCCCAGTCAAGTGCACGCACCTGGGTTGCAGGTTCAATCTCCGCCCCCGTCGGGGCACGTGGGGGAGGCAATCAATCAATGTGTCTCTCTCACATCGATGTTTCTCCCTCTCTCTCTCTCCCCCCTTCCACTCTCTCTGAAAAGCAATGGGGAAAGTATCCTCAGGAGGATTAAAAAGAAGAAAAAAGAAAAGAGAAAAAATATGTTAAAAGAAAAGAAATCCCTTAGGAGCTTTTTTTTTTGGGTGGTGTTCATCCTCACCTGAGGATACTTTCTTCCATTGATTTTTGTGAAAGGGAGGGAGGGAGGGAGGGACAGGGAGGGAAACATCGCTGTGAGAGACGCATTAATTGGTTGCCTCCCACACCCGCCCTGACTGGAGCCAGGGTGGAGCCTGCAACCCAGGTGTGTGTCCTTGACCGGGAATTGAACCTGGGGCCCTTTGGTGTGTGGGCCAAGGCTCTAACCACTGCGAGCACACGGGCCAGGGCCCCTTAGGAGCTTTAAACACACTGATGCCCAGGTCCCACTCCCAGAGACACTGCTTAACTGGCCTGGGGCATTAGAATGTTAAAACTCCAGGTGACAAAGTTTGAGAACCATAGGACCTGGGATGAAGCTGGTGGCTACACCAAGAGGTCCCCCTGCGGTGGGCATCCTGTAGGGACCTGACAGGCCCTGACAGACCTGGAGTTTGGGGGAGCTGGGTCACTTGTCTGGCTGGATGGAGGGCTCCTGTGAGCAGACTCCAGGCTAAGACAGGTGAGGTGTCGCATGCCCCACCTTCGTCTCGCCAGGCCGAGGAGCCAGCACACCTGGCTCTCAGGTGATGATTCTGTCCAACTCTAATAGTGCTCGGTCCTGTGTGCCACTCAAAGACTCCACTTGTCGCTGCTGGAAAATGGGTTACCTCTTCAATTTTCTCCAATTCCCATCTTTTCATCCCAGAAGCGGAGGTCCATAGACACTAAAATGAGGAACTGTCATCTGGCGGCTCTTCCTCCAGCCCCTTGGGTATGGTTTCCTTCTTAGCACCTGCTCCACACTGGTTCCTCCTGCACAATGGACATCATGTCTCTGAGTCCTGATCTACCCCACGCTGTTCCCTGGGTATTTCCTGTGACTCGGAGACCCGTTGAATTCAGAGAGCTTTCTGGCCCCTCTGGCTCCCTCACTCCTGGGCTCTCCGGATTTCCATTGACTTCCTCCCTCTCTCCAATCCTCACAGGGCAAGGACACTTCCACCCCTACCCCCGCCATCTCCACCCAGAGCACCCACAATGCAACCGAGTGTGGGCTTCCCCCGATTGTACAGTGAATCCTTTCTATACACGGGGGTCCTTTTCCTACAAACGCCGTGGCCGAGTCTAAAAGCTTCACCTTCTGCAGAGCAAGACACACAGATTCCTATCTTTACCACAGATGCCATGGAGACCAATGGATCTGCACAGGTCACCATGGAAACCACCAGTGATGGACCACTATGGATCGCAGGGCTCACGCAGGTCCCGGCAAGATCAACAGGGCTACCCATAGCCATGTGATTGCTGGTGCAGTAATTTTTTTTAATTAATTTTTTTTCTTTTTGCTACATATATGCAAACAGGAGAAATCCTCATTCTGGAACCAGCCTGGAGGACACACATATGGGACAGTTCCAAGACCTGCCTTCAGGAAGTCACCTCCTCCCTCCTTCCTGAGCTGAGGGGGAGTCCAGTGCTTTCATTGGGGACATCAGGGCACAGGCTGGGCTTGTGAGGAGAGGCAGGCTAGAGCTTCCTAGGAGATGGTGGAGTCCCTGGTTTAGGCAATTGGGAATGGCAGCTGGTACTGCTAGAAAAAGAAAAGGAATGAAACTGAGGTGTGGGAGGGATCCCGTTTCACTTAATCCAATTACTTTCTACTTAACCCAAACTGTCTCTGTTGGTTAAAAAGTTAATCTGGTTTCTATTCACTGAGGGTCCTTAGGTAACTGGAGGACCCCAGAGGCACCACCCTCCCTCCCCCTACCCAGGGTGTGAACCTGAATCTCATCTCGGCCCTCCAGCCCCCAGGGACTCCTCCACCTCAGCTCCCTCTCCTGGGATAGATGGAAAATTCAGTTTCTCCCTACCCCTCCTACACTGTCAGGGTCTGACTGGAGTTGTGGTTTTGGTGGTTTCTGTGTGTGTGAAAATCCCCACCTGGGTTGGTCAGGTAAACAGGAAGGTGCTTTCATTTTTTCCTGGCTGTCTTCCCCTCGCCCGACCCCAGCACTCCCCTCCAGGGCCTGTCACAAGAGTCCTCCCCCGCCCCAGTCTGATCTAATTCTCTCTGGTCTGCCTGGGCTGGCAGGGCCTAAGAGGATTGGAGCATTTGCTAAATGGGACCTGGAGGGGGTCAGAGGACCAGCTGCAGGAGACCCAGGGGTCGGAACAGCCACAAGGGGGTGGCAGAGGAAGCCAGAGGCGGAGACCGTGGAGAGAAGGGGTGAGCAGCCTCCCACTGAGCTGGGGTGGGGGTAGGGACACCGCAGGAGGGGCAACACGCACGGACTCTGCAGGAAACAGTGTCTACAAGAGAACCATGCACTTTATTAATTTGCAAATTATCAAGCCCAAAACCATGTCTGGAAAAGTTATTAGAATTTTAACAATTTGAGCCAGGTCCCTGGCTCAAAAGAATAGTCAACTGATAACAAAATAATATGTCGACCAAATCCTATAAACACGACAGCTTTTAAAATACCCTCCAAACTGTCAGACAACAAAAAAGTACTAGAAATTAACCTACACAAAGATGTACCTAAGGCCTCGGTGATTAAAATAACAACACTTCGTGAGGACTCTGTAAACAACCAAATGAAGGAATAAATAATACACTTAGTGGTGTATAAAGATATCAGTTACCCCCAGAAACATTCATGGGTTTAATGCAGGTCAAGTTAAAAGGCCGATGAGGCTGCACTGGGAAGTTCCCAGGCAGCAGCACCGAAGCGGAAAATGCTGGGG